TATGATCCAAATCATAAGACTTCTGCAACTACACTTTTTCTTAGTGAAGTGTTTCTATACCGGATAAAGCCATCAGCCTTTGGCCAGAGTACAAGCTGTATACCTCACTGACCTGCCACTCTATTTTTATTTTATTTTACTTATTTTGTTTCGCTTTGTTTTGTTTTAATTTATGCATGTTTTACAACCTGCTACATGTATCCATTTGGGGCTCTTTTGGATGAGCCACTATGTCTCAGTCTTTGTCAGACTCAGGCCCATGGCAGGATCTACGGCGACTAGTGTTGCGCTGGAAATCTCTAGGTTAGGAATGGGTTGTGAGTCTAGGAAGAAAGAGGAGCTTCTCTGCTACAGAGTGCAAAGAGGACAGGTTACTCCATCCACTTGTCATTAGAGTTTAAAAGTCCTGCAAGCTGCTTGTATGTCTTCTGCCATTTGTTGGTTGTCCCTTCAACACCAATGCCTTCCTCAGCTTGTAGAAAATTGTCTGAAAATCAGGACAGAATCTAAGTAAGTTCAAGTGGTTTGACTTGAAAGATTAGCTTTCTCTAGATTCACAAAATTCAATATATTCATTGTTCTTCCAGTCTTATGTCTAAGCAAAGACTTAAACGGTACAGTCTGATATATCTATCAGTAATAATAGCAGCTGGATTTATTTATTACTAGAAGCATTTTATATCCTGAAATAAAGTATACTTTTTAAATTATGGTAGGATATTAGAGAAAATATTACCCTTTTCATATTTGGATATTGTATAGAAAATTATCAACATATGGTGGTAAGCCATAAATGTAGATGAAATTCAAATCAAACCCAAAAGAATACTTATTATACAATCCTTCTCCCCAATTGGGACTGAAAAATACACCCAAAGTCCTTGGCAGAACTGCACACAGCACTGTCTAGAATCATACTGAAGGCATTATTTTCATTTTTTTTGTGCTCACTTTGAATTTAGTTATATCATCATTATCTCCAAGTGTCAGTGGTTAGAGTGGGACTTATGTTGGAAGGAATCAGGCTGGAGGTTGGAGAAATAGCTGTAGCTTGATAAGAAAAGAAGAAGCACACATTGGGAATGAGGTAATGTGGAAGAGAGCCATCGTAGGCAAAAGGGCACTGAGGCTGTCTCTTTAGAGACATATATACACATGAGTTTTCCTAAAGCAAAGCACCTTCTGGGTAGAGAAGCCATGAGGGAAAATGATAGATAAGTTGAGGTTAGAAGGAAGGTAGGAAAAAGAGAAAAGCAAAGAGAAGGAAGGAGATATGGAGCAAGAGAGTGAATAAAAGAGAAAGGCAAGGGCCAGCCCAGTGGTGCACTGCTACAGTGCGCCGCTTGGGAGTGCGGTGGCGCTCCCGCCGAGGGTTCGGATCCCACATACAGACCGGGCGCTCACTGGCTGAGCGAGGGGCGGGAGCAGCACCGAGGGTTGCGATCCGTTACCGGACATGAAAAAAAAGACAAAAAAAAAGGAAAAAAAAAAAAGAGAGAAAGGCAAGGAGAGGTGGAGGAAAGGAACTATGTTCAATCCAATGGATTCAGATTTTACTCATTCAGAACTGCATTTAAAAGGGCTTTTATTAGAATTCTGATGTGTCCAGTTTGTCTTATGCTCCCTGAGTGTAAAATATGCAAATTGACACCTAACGGTGTGGTTTCTACTGTTAATAGAAACAATAGCTACTACTTGTTGACTCCCTCCCATATGCCAAGAATTTCATGGTGGTTGTAACTAATCATTTCCATTACTCAACAAAGTGGATTGTATTATCTCCATGTTACAATGGAGGAAAGTGGTGCTGAGAGATAGAAAGTAAGTAGGAACAGGGCTGGGATGCAAAGCCAGGTTTCAGGTATTCCAAACCCGGGGACTTTTTCAATGTGCCTCACTGCTTTATAAGTTGTCATGTTCTATAAAATATAGTAAAGGACACATGACTGCACACATGCAGGCATGAATGAACCACTGTGTGCAAAGAGCTCTGTGCTTGTAGAAGCATACTCATGAACTCCGGAGGCAACCAAACATGTCTCCACTCCCACTCAACCAAAACAGTTATAGATGGCCTCTTTCTTATTCTACCAGTTAATTACATCAAGGAAGAAATTAAGTTCAGGCCTGGCAAGGTCCTCTGAATGATATTGGG